TCTCTCTGTATCTCTCTCTCTCTCTCTTCTCTCTCTCTCTCTCCTCTCTCTCTCTCTCCTCTCTCTCTCTCTCTCTCTTCTCTCTCCTCTCTCTCCTCTCCTCTCTCTCTCGTCTCGCTCTCTCTCTCTCTCCGCTCTCTCTCTCCTCTCTCTCTCTCTCTCTCTCTCTCTCTCTCTCTCTCTCTCTCTCTCTCTCTCTCTCTCTCTCTCTCTCTCACTCTCTCTTTCTCTCTCGCTCTCCTCGCTCCTTTCCCGCCTGCCTGCTTGTGTGTTATTGCTCTCGCGGGAGTTGTGCGGCACAGCTCCGCTGCCGTTCCAGTTATTTTCACGTCCAACGGTCAGCTGATCTGTCTGGTGCTCCCAACTGCAACCGACCGTTCCAGCTGGCAGGCGACGACACCCCGCAGACCGCGCCGCCGGCCCACGGGCCACTGCGGACTCTAGTCCACTAATCCCCTATAAATGGCCGTTACGGCCAGACAGTTTGAGATTGGTCGCCGCGGTCCCTACCATTTGTCTTGCTGAAACCACAAAGGAGAAACGAATTAAACTATGAATACATTTCAGGCACGCGAAGCCATCAATACACGCGTTTAATGAAAAATCATTAATCTGGGCAAAATATCTGTTGCCACTGGCGTCAGGGATCCTTTCACGAACGCGGTCATTGTGGCGGCTACATTATGGGCAGACAAGAGCAGGCTAAAGAAAGCCCAAGCTGGTGACCTCGTGTGACCCCAAGCCTAGACATCAGACACCAGTGCGCGAGAAGAAGGTACCCCTAAGGCACACTGGAATTCTAGTGTTTTAGAACTTTCGTTAGACTGCAACAAACCTGAAGCATGAGAAGATGTGTAATTTGCAGTACCACGCTCGGGAAATTGTGCGTGTGAGATCGCTGAGAACCGAGCTATAGAGTATAGTGTTTTGTTTATGGAAATGGCCATACCACCTGAATGCGTCGTGAAATGCTTAATGTTGGAGTTATAGTGCACGGTATGGGAGATCTTGGACTGGCGTCTAACGCACCAAAGGATATTGACATACTGAATGGTTACATAAATTGCACAGTTTAGCACAGAACACATTCTGCTTTCTTTCCAACGTACTGGCTTTCTTTGGAGATGACGCCTGGAGATGAGCTGTCTGGTAAAGTTGTATCATGCTAAGAGTGCTTGCGGCGCTGTGGTTCCATTGGGCACCGGGAAAACCAGGAACAAGGGGCTTGGTTCTCCGCGGTCCCCAAATTAGATATAGAGTGAAGAGGCAGGAGGCAGAGGCAGAGGCAGGCAACAGAGTGAAGAGGCAGGAGACAGAGGCAGAGTCTGACAATAGAGTGAAGAGGCAGGAGGCAGAGGCAGAGGCAGGCAATAGAGTGAATAGGCAGGAGGCAGAGGCAGAGGCAGGCAATAGAGTGAACAGGCATTAGGCAGAGGCAGAGTCTGACAATAGAGTGAAGAGGCAGGAGGCAGAGGCAGAGGCAGGCAATAGAGTGAAGAGGCAGGCGACGTCATAGTACCCCGCTGAATGTCTGCCGAATATATCGTAAAGCCCCATTGACGACAGCATCTTGAAGTTTCCTGAAGCATACCTGAAAGCAAACTCGTGAAAAATTGCGTTGATGATTACTTCCCTTTACGCTAAAGAACATGTGCTCTCTTCGCTTGCTTACAAGTCAAGTTGATATTTGGTTTTGCACGGAAGAAGACCGTCTCAAAAATGGATTACATTCGCGTCACGTACATTTATGCCAAAGAAATTGGGAAACGTGTTTTTCGAGGAGCAGGCAGTCATATTCCTGCATCTGCACAACACCTAGAAAAAGCTTCATCTTCATTAATTCTCAGCATGTCAGGGCAGCCTGTCATTGTTTTTCGGTCTTATTGTTCTCAACTCGTTAATTTTCTTAGATGTGCCAGACACCAAGCGGACCAGAGTTGACCGACTTTGCCGCTGTATTTTTCCAGCGCGATCTGACGTCCGCAGCTTGATACCTCTCCTAGCCCCGACCCATTATGAGCCAGTGCATTTCTGGAGCGGCTTTTTTGTCGCTGAAGCCTTCAGCGCCGACTGAGGAGCAGAATTACGATTCGAGAAAGTTCGCGGACGCCTGACACCGACCGACTAGGAAGGCGGCGAGAAAAATATTGCTCGCAATGTGCAGACAGCCGATACTTTGCCACGATATCCAGGTCGGTATCAGGTGAAGCGAAAAGTAGCAATTATGAATTGCCGTTGAGCGCAAATTGCAACTCAATACCAAACGAGGCAAAGAAAGGTAAACGCCCTCTAAAGAAGTGGGATATTTCATTGCTGACTAGAATTTAAGGCTTGATATTGAGTGGTATTGCTTTTTCACATCTGTCTTGATCTTGTTTCATACTGAAACGTGTGCGATTTGAAAGTGATTACAAAAATATAGTTATTTTACGGAAATGACTGTTGATATGGTAGAACTGTCGCCACCGCTCCCAAACGTGATATTACAGATCAAGCATTTCAAGTCAGGTCGTAACTGCCCTCTATAGCAGCTTGGCAAAAATTTGAAGTTGGAAGCTTGAGTACAGTTTGAAAGTACCCACTAATTAACCCAGCCTCATGTAACCAACCATACCGTAGGCTGCACGCTTGAAAACTGTTTCAAAAATACATTATCAGTCTTTTGAGGGAAAGAAAACGGCACAGAGCCTACGTAGCATGGGCGCAGCCAAGTTTGCCCCCCACCCCGCTCCCTTAGGTCCACGTTTTTTTACCATAGATGGCTCACGACCAAGTTCAAATTCGGCGTGGTGCGTACGCGCCGAGCTTCGTCCGCCCCCGTCAGAGAACCCTGGCTGCGCCCCAGCTCAGCAGTGTAACGCCTCGAGACCTCACAGGCTTCTAGCACATGCCAGACGGATTCACATTGGCAATATAGTACAGTCACGGCATGAAAAGCAGAAGGTTTCTTCGCAGTGAACGACAGTCCTCCTGCTGCGTGGTCGGTTTTTAATAGTGACGAGAGCTTTCACGCAGCAGAAGGGGAGGCAGCTCAGCGCGATGTAGTAATGTTGCGTAATGCAATCCGGGAATGCAGACTACAAAAAAACGCATCCAATACGCATGCGAAAAACTAGCACTTTTTACCATACTGTGCTGCAAAAGCTCTTGGCAATAGGGAAAGCCAACACGCTCGCAATTGCTAAGAAAAAATCGGGATATTTAATATTATATGAGTCGCTTTCAACACGCGCACTGGAGTGAAATTGAAAGAGGAGTGCCAGGAGTTCCGGGTGCGATCATTTGAAGTTACGGATTCAAATTTCGGCTGCAGTTGCAGCAGGCAGCTGCCGCAGCTGGCCATCGCTGCCCGCTGCACTCCAGCTGCAGTGGGTGGCGTCAGCCGTGTTACGTCCCGATCCAGTCCAGGAACGACGCCGCCCCCATGAGGATATCAGGGAGGCCCGCGTGGCCGCACGATTTGCCGTAGGAGAGGACGCCGATCAGGGCGTACATGCCCGCGTGCTGCGTGACGAGCGGGCCGCCGCTGTCGCCCATGCTGACCGATTTACCGCCGCCGGGCACGCCACCGGCGCAGATCTGACTGCGTAAGACCGCCCAGCTCTCCCTGCACACAGCCTCCGAGCGAGCCGGCAGCTGTACCTCTGGAAGCTCTGTGGGCTGCGGAGACCGGGCGGTGAGCTCGCCGAAGCCAGAGATGACGGCCGTCGTCTGCACGAACGCCTCGCCTGCGGTCGGCAGACACACGGCCAGTGTGACGTGACTCACCGTCGGCGGCGTCCATGCGATGGTCGTCCAGCAGCACCTCGATGTCCCGACATTTGGCCCTCGGTGCAAAGGGCCGCCGTCAACACGGACTGGTCGTCGATGATTCTGCCGCCGCATCAGCCGCATCAGGTGCGGCTCTGTCCGGGGCTGGCCAGGCCAGCCTGCCGCGGATGCTCGTAAGCCTCCGTCTCAACGCCGCCGACCACCCGGGAGGCGCAGTTGGTCACGCCGCAGCTGTAGCCGCCGGGGGAGACGGAGACCGCAATCCCGACACTAATAGTGCAGGGTTCTCCTGCCCTAATAGTGCAGGAGAATCCACTTCTGACTTCAGAGCAGTCGGAGTGGACTTCCTAACTTCAGGGCTGTCAGAGCTCCGCAAAACTTGTTTCCGTCGACCGGCCAGTCCCACTCACAGGCGCTGGCCCTCGATGTCGAACGCAGAGCAACTCACGGCCAGAGGTCCAGCGGCCGACCCAGGCGTCGGACCGTGGGCACAGTTGTAGCTGGCTTCGTAGTTGGAGGGGTGGCTCAGCGATGTGATCGTGTACGTTCCCACTGTCAGATAGTGAACGCCACAAGCAAGAGTTGCGCGTTCAGCTCCCAGGTCCTCAGTGGAGGAGACGGTCTTCCCGCAAGAGACGGCCGTGGCATGGCCGCGCCCATGTAAAGAACTACAGTCGCCAGTGGAGGAGACGGTCCTCCCGCGAGAGACGGCCGTGGCATGGCCGCGCCCATGTAAAGAACTACAGTCGCCAGTGGAGGAGACGGTCTTCCCACGAGAGACGGCTGTGGCATGGCCGCGCCCACGTAAAGAAGTACAGTCGCCAGTGGAGGAGACGGTCCTCCCGCGAGAGACGGCCGTGGCATGGCCGCGCCCATGTAAAGAAGTACAGTCGCCAGTGGAGGAGACGGTCCTCCCGCGAGAGACGGCCGTGGCATGGCCGCGCCCATGTAAAGAAGTACAGTCGCCAGTGGAGGAGACGGTCTTCCCGCGAGAGACGGCCGTGGCATGGCCGCGCCCATGTAAAGAAGTACAGCAGCCAGCAATTCCAGCGGCGTGGCTGCTCATACAACTGAGAGCAGTACATAGCGTGCGTTTAAACATACGCTCCCGACACCTGGCCGCCATCGTCGGCCATTGTTTCGCTGAGGTTATCGTGCCTCATTCCTGGGATATCAACAACAAGGAGGCTTAATAATGCTGACGCATGTCAAGTCCATAGCCGCATCGGTGTCGGTGGTGCTTAGACGTAATGGTTCACTGCTTAGGCAAAAACATGTGCATTCATCATCGCATTACAATCCACACGTACAGCCGTTCAGGTCGTTGCAGATAGACATTGCTCGCCAGGCTGTGAGATGGTCGCGGTAAGGAATGGTGAGAACGTGGCCACACACAAACCGGCAGTGGCGCGGGAAGGATTTCAAGGTTAAAGGAAGCAAAAAATGAGTTGCGAAGCCCACCTTCCCACACTTTGTTCTCTGCATATTTCGGCCGCTCCATTTTCACCGGGGTGCAAAATGTTGCTTGTTTTATTGGAATATGTATTACCAACGCTAGCACGTGCCCCGGTAGCGGCTCAACCACTGTCCCGCAAACTAAGGACCAAGTTTTCACAACAGAGATTTGGCAAGGACGTGACAGACCACTTGACCATGGAAAGAGCGCACCAGGTATGTCAAAGTGAGGCATGGTTTTTTTGTCGACCGCGAATAGCCTGAACTTTCTATTAACAGACGAGCGAACAAACCACGGTTGGGCGAAAGCTCTGCCACTTTTCGAGATTGTTAACATCAGACCATGCAGCTATGCTCATGGCAGCTATGGTTGTTAACATCAGACCATACAGCTATGGTCATACGTAAATGAAATTAACTTTAAACCATTTTCACCACGCAGATCTTGTTAGCAGTCCATGTGTCTTTGGGCAGGTCCAGATCCCGTTGGAACCTCCAAATCTTTTGGACAAATCTGATTTGGATTGGTCTCAGACGTATGCACGTGGGCAAGATTAAAATATGCTTTGCGCAACAGATGTGAACAGGCCCAGTGACGCACTCAGCAGGCCCAAACGTGGTTGAAACCTGGCACTTTTGCTGTATCTACATCAAGTCCTAAAATCTCCCATATTCGTCTCTCTTTGATGTTGGCATTTTATCAGCCCAAAGGCACGTCGGCAGGGTACTTTAGCATCGGTGTCTGATGTAGACTTTTGCAAGGAACGCAGGAAAACATTTTTACTTACCAAAGGATTGTAGCATAAGTAGAAGTGTTTGTTCATCTATGCTATACTGCGAAACCTAAATCCGCCCTCGATAATATCCCAAGCAATAGCGGATGCAGGCTTTGCGAACTTGTGGGGAAAAACTCATGTTGGTTACAACTTACAACGCTGATGTGCAAACAAATGGCATCAGTTTCCCCTCTCGCATCCCACTTCTGTAGTTCACATCGCGTCTGTGACTTCATATATCCGCTTCAGCGACATACAAATTTCCGGAATGTTTAAGTAAATTTTCCATTGTAAACGCGGATGCACGGGTAAAATGGAATTATGTGGTGCGTTGCAGTTGAACCATCGAAGTGAAGAGGCAAAAATACCAGCATTTTTAGAAAAGGATACAAGAATGTGTAATAAGCCAACCGACGCCAGAACTTAAATATCATGTATGTTTCGACGCAGGCGTGGGCATAAAATACAGCAGCTGGTGAATCCGTACCAGACGTCGTTGTTTTTCGACGATGCTTGGCACGGAGAGTTTCAAGCATCGCGGTAGTAATGGCGGCTTAGATATCAGAAAGCGATTCCAAACCGTCGTTTTGTATAGTTCATATTACATTTTGCAGGCATGCCCAGAGCATTTTCCAGTTATACAAGCTACCTCAGGACCATCAAGACTTTATTACCCATCAACAGGCCGTGCTTCTTGATAAATCATAGGAAACGCCGAGCCATTAACGCTATCACCATACTTGCTACACCAAGTGTGTATGTCTCCATTGTAGTTTATCATTCAACTCAAAGGCAATGAAGTACAGGAGGATTGCTATATTCCATATATTGGCTGCTCTCCTTTGTCACTGTTTGTTAACGACCTTTCGTGCGTTATTGAATCCGGCCGCCTTTTGTATGCCGATGACCCAAACATTTTCCGCAAAATTACGTCCCGTGCTGACGGACTGCTGCTGCAGAGTAATCTCGATCACCTGGTAGCGTGTAGGGTCAGGTGGGGCTGGTCCTTAACCCTATGAAGTGTAGAATCTTCACGATGACCCTCAGTCCTCACAGACAGTCAGTCATGCTCCCGTCCGGACCAACTATTATATCAATAGAACTGAGCTAGAAGAACATGTGTGTAAAATCAGGGACCACGCTGAATACCAAGCTAACCTTCGCTGCACATGTCTCTGATATAGTCAGTAGGGACAATCGAACACTTGGCCTCCTTATTCGGTCCTTCCAAGCCGTTACTAGCTGTCAAAATTCCGCCGAAGCACTGTGATGGCTGCGTATTTTAGAAACGGGCCATCGTGCCGGCGTGGTCTGGGCGGGGGCGGCCAATTCCCACACAGTGCGGGTCGATCGAACGCGGCAAGTTTTTACCTCGTTACTTACACACTCTGCAGGCAAATAGTTTCTCTTCTGACAACCTTCTGCTTCACTTCAAAACTACATCCGTAACAGCACGAAAAGTGCAGAACGACTGATTCTTTCCGAGAAACATCTTCTAAGGTAAACTGGACTTTCCAATTTTGCCAGGCTGCTTCCCCTTGCTTGTGCCGCCTCGGACGACCTGCGCCCGAACTCTGCCCGCTGTACCTCGTGCTTGTGTGCAAGCCGTACAGAGCGGTCTGTTTTGCCGACTGTCAAGCGTAAGCGTTGGGAACAATTTCTTGCCGAGCAACACTACCGCGGATATTTTTCATGACAGTTTTGGCACTTTTAGAGTTGAAGTGACTAAGCTCGTTGTAACTGTGTGGCGTTTTTACTTAGCTTTGAGATGGTATATTTACATCGTGCTCATACTGCTGTGTGTGTGCGTGTGTGTGTGTGTGTGTGTGTGTGTGTGTGTGTGTGTGTGTGTGTGTGTGTGTGTGTGTGTGTGTGTGTGTATGTGGGTGTGGGTGTGGGTGTGGGTGTGGGTGTGGGTGTGGGTGTGTGGGTGTGGGTGTGGGTGTGGGTGTGGGTGTGTGGGTGTGTGGTGTGGGTGTGGGTGTGTGGGTATGGGTGGTGGGTGTGGGTGTGGGTTGGTGTGGGTGTGGGTGTGGGTGTGGGTGTGGGTGTGGGTGTGGGTGTGGGTGTGGGTGTGGGTGTGGGTGTGGGTGTGGGTGTGGGTGTGGGTGTGGGTGTGGGTGTGGGTGTGGGTGTGGGTGTGGGTGTGGGTGTGGGTGTGGGTGTGGGTGTGTGGGTGGTGGGTGGGTGTGGGTGGGTGGGTGTTTATGTGTGTGGGTGTGAGTATGGGTGTGGGTGTGGGTGTGGGTGTGGGTGTGGGTGTGGGTGTGGGTGGGTGGGTGTGTTTATTGTATTTGATTTAAACGACTGCGCCTGTTAGTGAGTGCTGCTCTGTCAGCGATAGAAAATAAACAAATGCCACAAATCTTGCCTGATGCTCATATTGTTTAATCACACTCTCCCAAAAATGAGCAACTAGGTCTTCCGTCAGGCCCAACTCCGTCCTATTTTAAAAGCATGCGTCTGTTTTGGGCACGCGAAAGCATGCGTGGCGTCGGAAGGGCGTCGGCATCATCCCGACTGAAGAGAGACTCGGGCGGACCACCATTTCATTACTTCTGGCGGCATCGCGCCGCATCACGTTATGCCTTGAAAGTTCTCGGAAGCTAGCTTTTTAGTTGGCCTGTAAGCTGGGCAGGAATGATCGCGGTCACTGTTCAGATGCCGTCGGTCTCCCGCCGGACCGGTAGGAGGCCGCTCTGAGTCCCCGTATCTGACCGCTTAAACGCTTTCATAAGCCAGCTTTTTAGATATATGAGATATATGAAGGTGACAAACGCCTCTGAGAGCCGAATAAAGGCCGGAGTGATGCATCTGCGGGGTCGATATAATTTCGCAAAATACGCTTAATACGAATAACCGAAATTGATGTCTGATGCATCTTCAGTGTGTCATGAGTATCATAGGCGAATGAAGTGCACAAATAAAAAAAAAACGCACCAGCAGCCAGTGCGGTGTGTAATAGCGTCTAATGTAGATGCGTAATGGAATACATCTTCTTCGAGCATAAACTGCAATTAAATGCGGTCCAGGGTCTCTCCGTCAACTGCGGCTCATCGTCTAATGAAGATTGCGGACATGAGCCCAAGTGATCATCAAAGTAAAGCAAATTTGGTCCGGGATCAAAGGCCGGCGCCCAAAACTGGTACTGAAACCTACGGAAGTTCATCACAGGCCTTCGAAATTAAAATCATGCAAATGACGAGCCATCAGTCTTGCAAAACTGAAGGTAATTAGTTCCGCACTGTATATATGGCATAGCGGTTCATGCGCGTGTCAGGCGGAGTAGCTCGGCTCCGTCGACGACACTGAACTCGGTCACGATTTTGTTCTCAGCTTCCGCCATTTATTATTCAGGTCTGCGGCCTCCGCTTCCAACCGGCCCAGCGAGCACCACCGTTGGCGCCCGGCCGCCAGCAGATCTAACGACACCACAGAGTCCCTCCCCCGCACCTCCGCCACCGCCAACGTCCGGCGATGGATAGATCCAACGAAACCGCACAGGGTCCCTCCCCGCACCTCCACCACCGCCGGCGTCCGGCGATGGATAGATCCAACGACACCGTTCAGGGTCCCTCCCCGCACCTCCACCACCGCCGGCGTCCGGCGATGGATAGATCCAACGACACCGTTCAGGGTCCCTCCCCCGCACCTCCATCACCGCCGGCGTCCGGCGATAGCTCCAACGACACCGCACAGGGTCCCTCCCCCACCCAACCACCACTGCTGCCGGCGTCCCGCGGCGGACAGATCCAACGACACCGCACAGAGTCCCTCCCTCCGCACCACCATCATCACCGGCGTCTCCACTGGTCAGGGGGCACGTTCAAGCCGCGGCAACGGGGAGGGCTTCCTATTTCCGACAACCCGAGGGGTACAGGACCAGTCCTGCCTTCATCTCGAGC